TTGCTTGGTAGGCAGTGGGTCAAAACAACAGCAAGAAATTGTCAGGAATAGCATTTCTATCATTTACAAACGCCTCAGGTCAGTGGGTCTCCCTCAGCTTCCTTCTCTTGGTGTCTGCTAACGTGGGAATTTGCTCACTGCGAAATGGTTAGATGGATGAACAAATGCATTAGTGAATGAATAAATGAATGAGTAAAGGAAGGAAGCTTGTTCCCTGGAGTGGAGATGAATTTCAATGAGTTTCATATAACAGGAATTAGGAGAAATGAAAGCAGTTACAGGTTGTGTCCACTCTCTTCTCAGAATCTTCCTCTCAAGGCCCTTGGAACTTTGGACTCTGTCACTTGCTATCCTTTCCTCTCTTCCCTTCTCTTTGTCAGTATAGCTGTCTGAACCCCAAATCCAAGATCCCTCTTACCTCCTAATCACTGTATGGATCTTTGCTTGATTGTCACCTTTTCAAGGGAATCTTCTTGGACCTTATTTCTGCTGGACCTCTCCTTTGTAGCACTTTTCAATTGAATTTTTTTTTTTTTTTACATTTATCTGTATGATTATTGATGTCTGTGTTCCCCATTAGACTGCTCTACAAGGCAGGGGCTATGTGCATAGTGTAGTGCCTGCGTTCAGGAAATATTTATTAAATGAACACTCTCCATTATCTTGTGAGCTTTATGAGACCATGTTCAGTTGTAAATAAAGACCTCCCCTCTCCCAGCCATAAATCATTTCCCTAGAGGTACCCACCCTTCTCTGCTTTCCTTCTCCCCCAGGCATCTTTGTTATTATTGTCTCTGTTGTCTCTGGAGGTTCACTGCCCATTCCCAGTAAAAAGAGAAGTTTGCTTTTTTTTTTCCACTCCTCTTCAAACCTTCCAGATGCTCCTGACACCATTTTTCAGCAAGCCCACCTGTCCGGAAGCTTGAGGTTTTTCTCTTCCCCACTCCCCTATTTTAGCACCTTGGTTAAAACCCTCCAGGACCATCCAGCATTCCTGGAAGACTCCAAACGTTGGTTCAAAAACTGCCTTGCTTGCTTTTACACGACTCCCTTCCACCACCCCCTTTGCCATTGACTTTGTATTTGCTTCCATTACTGCTTTTATTATGTCATACTATGTTTCCATGTCTGTACCCCTCTGAGACTGGGAGTGCCACCAGAACAGCTGCTGCTTGTCTTGGTGCCCTAGCACCTAGCACAATGCCAGGCACAAAGCAGGTGCTCACTAAATGTCTGTTGAACACAATGGAGTGAACTCACCCTTAGGGCTTGAGGGTGTCATCACTACTCTGATTTAGACATCAACACACTTACTGAGTTATTTCTAAAACCCTAAACTTAGAACCTCTCACCCTCGGACCCTTGCCCCCATGCTTTCAATCCTGCAAAACCCCATCTTAGCCAAGGAAACTTTGGATGCTGGCAACAGAGACCCACTTGTACTAACCCAAGTTTTATTAAAGAGATTACTTGTGGAAACCCAGGAAGAGTCGGACCATTAGGAAGGACAGGAATGGGGGCAACTCCGAGCCTTCTGCAGCAAGAGTTCATGGGCCTCTTATTAACCTTAGTGCTCTGCCATGAGTTTCTGGCTCAGCTTGGTTCTCTCCACAGGGCAGCTATGGACAACTGGGGTTCTTGGGACCATTTGGTCCTCAGCCACTCATTCATTAGGTGGCCCAATTCTTCTTTTGGGAAGAAGAACCAGCCCTTGGATCTTCCTCTTGGGGAAGGTAGCCACCCTGTTCCAATCAGTTATGTGAAGTGGGGTGGAGAAACAAAATCACGTGGTCTTCAGAGCTATTCCTTTCAATCGCTCTGTGCAGAACTGATTAAGCCAGAAAAGGAGGTTGAGTGCTATGGTGAGTGCCTGGCTAATTCACTCTCACTGGAACCTCTTGCCTTTTCTTCTCTCCCACTTCCCTGAGCCATTGGCACCCACCTGCTTCCCAGTCCAGCATGGGTCCACTGTGGAACTTGCAGCTGTCCTTTGTCAGGCAGCCTGGGCATGTGCTGTAAATAAATGGCCTTGATGGAGTCTGGCACAGTGTGCAGGCAGTGCACCGGATGGTTAGAATTGGCTCCTCAGGTGCTGCGTTGAAGGCCAGAACTGCGGAGACTGAGATCAGAGTGGAGGTGGGTTGGGAGTGGGGAGCACAGTCCAGGGCTTCTTCCCCAAGCAGACAAAGAGGAGTGAGAACAGCAGTCTAGAGGGCTAAGTTAGGGGCAGCAAGCAGAGGCTCGGGGAGTGAGCCTACAGGAAATTAGGTTTGCATCTCTCGAAAAGAGCTCTGTCAAAGGTCCATTACCACCCTGTGTTGCTGAATCTCACGACCTTCAGGTTTCCCTGCTGGATTTTTCCATGGGCTTTGACACTGAGCACTGGTTCTTTTCTAACAGCCTTTCTTGGTGTCTCGGGCCCTCTCCCCTAATTTCTCATCGGACATCCTTGGAATGAGCCATCTGGTTCTCTTTCACTGGTTACGCTATTTCCTAACCTGGCTTCTGATTTCAGTCTTCACTCTCACGAAGGTAGTGGAGGGTAAGAGACTAGATTCTGGTGTTTGCCTGGTATGTGAGCTCTGTTGATTTAACTCTTCCTAAGCTTCCATTTCCTGGACTGTACAGTGGGGGCTGTTAAGAGGTTTGTTACATGGAATACATTCGTGCATGTAAACACTGTGGGGTCTGGAGAGCTTACGTACTCAATGTCAGCTGCTGCTACTTTCCTCCTTGTGATTTCCCTAGGAGACCATCCCCCATCCCCTCACTTCAGCTCTCTCCTCTAGACAGATGACCTCCAAATATGAATCTTCAGTCTGAGCTCCAAAATTTCACCTGCTTATTGAGAGGTAGTACAAGCTGGTAGAGGAAAGAGCATGGGCTCAGGAAGGGCAGACAAGGGCTCGAGCCCTGTTCAGCACTCACAGCTGTGGACATGACAAAGTGACCTCATCTGAACACCTGCTTATTTACTCATCCATAAGTGGGATAATGATACTTGCTTCCCTGGAGTGGAATAAGCTTTGCGATGTTCATTTCCTCCAAGGCACTTATGTTCTATATTTATTTCTCTCTCCACACTCTCCCCCAACCAAAGGTAAAGTAAAGCCCTTGAGAATAGGAGCCTTACTTTCTTATTCACTACTCTGCTCCATGGCCCAGCACACTCCTGGCACAGGCTCAATAACACTAATTTCTCATTCACTTTCCTCCTATATTCCTTTGACTTCTCAAAATCAACATATACCAAAACAAACAACTAGACATTTCCTCGCTAGACCTGACCAATTAACTTAACAAATATTTATTAAGTGCCAATCATTTGCCAAGCACAGGGCTAAGGGTTGGAACAAAGAAGTGATATATGAGACATTGCTCATTTATGGAAATGTTCACTGCCGAATGGGGAGACAGATAATGACACTGGAGCATAGTATTTGCAATAATAATACTAGAGATACTCCAAAGGGAGCTCCGACCACAATGAAGGAACAACCTTTCTGACTTCAGGAGCTGGAGAAGGCTTCTCAGAGGAAGTGACAAATGCCCTGGGTGTTAATAAAGGCGCAGAAATTTTCCAAGCAGAGAAGATTGCCAGATGCAGGGAAGAGTGTTGTTAGAGGCATGAACTAACATGGTGCACGTTCGGCTGGAATGGAGGGTTCAAAAGAGAAAAACAATGGAGGGCTGAGACCATTTCTCTTTTTTTAAAAATAAAAATTTCAAGCATACAGAAGTAGAGAAAATGGTATAAAATCCACCTTCATGTGCCCATAATCCACCTTCAAGAATTATCTATTCAACAGACAATCTAGTTTTATTTATACCCCTTCCCTCTAAACTCTCAAATCTTAGATATTAAATCATTTCATTCACAAATAGTAAAGTATTTTAAAAGAGAAAGTGTATTGTCTTTTTCTTCTTACAAATGAGTCACAGTATATTCCAACACTGTAACTTGTTTGATTTTTATCCTAATCATCTATTTGGCGACTGCACTGTTATCAGGATATATAGACCTAACTCCTTCTTTTAGGAAGCTACTTAGAGTTCTACTCGTGAATATACCATGATTAATCTTGCTAGTCCCCAACTCATGGGCACTTAGGTTGTTCCCGATCTCTTACTATCAAAGCAAAGCTGAGAGAATACCCTTGAACATAGATCTACTTGTGGGCATATCTATAGGTTAAATTTCTGGACATGGAATTGCTAGGAGTTTATACATTTTGAATTCTGACAGGAGCTCCCTATTTGGCCCATGGAGTGCTTCGAATGATATGAGAAGGATGCTTTCTCTTTGTTGGTTAGACTTGTGACATTCTGGAGTCCTCTCTGTCCCTTCTCCATTTAATCAGTCATTTATTCTACCAACTCAACTCCTCCCATTCTGTCCATCTTCCTCAGTTCATTCCTACTGCTGTGGCCCTGGCGCAGGCCTACTCTCTTTCTCACCAGGTCAGTTGAAACTAACAACTCAGAATGTATTCTAATCATCTGCCAAAGCAAACATCCTAAAGAAGGAACTAAATCATTCTCCTGCTTAACTGTTACCTCTGCTGGTGTCTCACCATGTACGATATTTAAAAATCCAAGTCCTTAGCCTGCCTTTCAATGCTTTCCAGTTTCCCCCCAACTCCTTACTCATTTCTCATACACCTTAGATTTCTCTGAACTCTGGTGCCTTACTTGGGCCCCCACCTTACACTCTCCTTTCTTTTATGGAAATCTTGCTCATCCTTTAAGGTAAACTCAAGCCCCACTTCCTCCATGAATCTACATAGTGTAGGACTAATTTTGGACCCAGGATATCTTTTTGGGGATGTCAGTTTTTCTGAGGCTCGGAGCTCTCATCTGCTAAATAAAGACAAAAATACCAACCTTGCAGGATTGTTGTGAGGGTTAGGGATAATGGGCATATTAGGCAGGCATCAATAAAAGGTAATTCTGACAATTTCTGTGGTCACTATCACCGTCTCACCGCACTTGATCGGCACCTCTGGTTCTATGCTGGATGCATTTGCTTTGTGTTACAGCTGGTTGTGGACAAGACCGTCTAGACCAGTACATGGCAAGCTCGTTGTGGGCAGGGCTCAGGATTCGCCTCTGCATCTCCCAGCGCCTGGCAGAGAGCCTGCAAATAAGTGGAGAAAGAGATAGAGATAAACGTATTAAAAGATAGACGGAAGGAGGGCAGAGACAGGCAGATAGGGGCTGGAAAGACAGGTTTCCGCGGGAATCTCGGCGCAGGGGCTCAGCCCGCGGAGCCCGGGCGGGGGCGGGGCCTGGGCCTGGTTTTGGCCCCGCCTCGGTCCGTCCGCGAACGAGTTCCGCTGTCCCCGTGGTCCCCGAGGCTGGCTCCAGGCTCCTCCGCGGGAAGTGCGGGTGCCGACATGCGCCCCCTGCTTGGCCTGCTCCTGGTTTTCGCTGGCTGCACCTTCGCACTGTACTTGCTGTCGACGCGACTGCCCCGCGGACCGATACTGGGCTCCGCCGAGGAGGCTGGAGGCAGGTGTGTGGCGGGTATGTGGGTTCGGGTCCGAGTAAGGAAGCCAGGTTCGAGGATGGGGTCTGGGAATTGGAAACTCGAGTTTCCAGATCAGGGGCGTCGGGGGCCGGGGTTTGTGGTTGAGTTCTAGGACTGGAGATCAGGGTCTGGTACCTGGGCCGCGTCTCCAGGGTCTCAGGCAGTCCCGGTGAGTGGGAGCCGGGGCGCCCCCTGGCTGGGACCTGCGCGTTGCCCGCTTCGTGGCTGCGCGGCGAGGGTCTTTGGGGTGGTGCTCTGCGGAGGAAGACGAGGCGCCTTACTCCGGGCGGGGCCTGCTCGCGCGCCTCTGTTGGCTCTGTGGCTTCGCCTGTCCGTATTCTTATCGCTTTCCCAGGCTCAGCCCTAACCCCCGTTTGCAGCCGACCCTCGCCCCTGTGTGGACCCGCAGCCTCTTCTTCCGAGCTGCCCTCAGCTTCCTTCCATCGACCTCCCCACCTAATCTCGCTTAGGTCTGCCCTTCGGACTTTAAGGCATTCGGTCTTCAGGAGAAACGTTGCGTGGACAACTTTAAATTATTCACAAATTAAGTATCGGATCCGCCCCTCTTCCTGGCTGTCTCTGCCTTTCTCCTTCTCATTACCGACTGGATGAGGCAGTGTTGCATACTTGTTTATAAAGTTCATGGGAGTGTGCCTGGCACAGCATTGCGTTATCAAGGATGTTACTGATATTTGAATATCAGGACAATTGTTTTCAGTTATTGTATTCTTTTGCTATAGCTGAGAGGGCTTTGCTATGGGTGCCGGTTTGCTAAGAGAACATTCTGATGAGAACTAGGAAGGTTTTCTCATAACTGATCATTGATGGATTCAAGAGTTGTTTAGATGACAGAGGCAAAATAGACTTTACACTGTAACCCTTGTACAGGATTCAGAGTGAACTGAGGACCAGATAAAGAGCAGAATGAAAAAGCAGTCTCTTTGAAAGAGTTGGTTTCAAGCCTGACATATTATTAAGAAGGTTATGTTTATAGTATGGGACAGATATACTTCCCTGGTGAATCTTAATTGGATTTTAATGTCTGATAAAACATTTTACCTAGTAACTCAGGAGCAGTATGAAGTTTGAATTGTCCTTGGCCTAAAGCGTGTGGTGGGGGTGCTCCTTCAAAGGAAAGCAATTTAGGACGTTTAGTACTCTCCTGGAAATTAATCCATTGCCTCTTAAGAATAGATCATAAAATCTGAGAGCTAAAAGGGACCTTAGTGATTACCTAACAATAACCCTCATTTTTCAGCTAAGATAATTGAGGCCTCGAGACTAGCCCAAGATCACACAACTGGAGAATAGCAGAGTTCAGATGCTAACCTAGGTCTCTTGTTTACAAACTAGGGCTCTCTGTCTGCTCTGCTGTATTGTATCAGGTCACCTATCATCAGGGGCTCCCATTATGTGTGTGTTCCAAAGCAGAGAAGATGATGGGCACATTTATAAACCTGCTTTGGAAAGACAACACCGCAAGTAACTTTCGTAGGTACTAGGTTGATCTGGACTCATGTTTCCCTCTGTTTTTCCAAATCCCTAGGTCACTGTGGTTCCCCTCTGACTTGGCTGAGCTGCGGGAGCTCTCTGAGATCCTTCGAGATTACCGAAAGGAGCACCAGGCCTATGTGTTCCTGCTCTTCTGCAGTGCCTACCTCTACAAACAGTGCTTTGCCATCCCTGGCTCCAGCTTCCTGGTAAGTACCCTGCCCTCCTTCTGTGCCTGTCAAGAAGCCACCTTCTGTCTTTGTAGAGAGGCCCTTAGGCCGCAAATCACACCGTCCAGAGACTGCTGAGGGCAGACTGCTGAGGGCAGACTGCTGTTGACAGCTTTCCCTGTGACAAACGCTGTCCTAGTTACTTAACCTTCATGATCTTATTTAATTCTCCCAACAGGCTTATAATGTGGGCATTGTTATTCACATTTTACAGATAAGGCAACAAGTGGGGAGAAGTTAAGTAACCAGCCAAGGTGACAAGGCAAAGAGAGGTTAGGGCTGGGGTCTCAACCCATGTCCGCCCAGCTCCAGAGTCTGCCTTTCTTCTCAGGTATGCTGCTTTTGTTTTTAAGGCATTGAGAGCTCTGGAGCGCTGTCCTTGAAAGACACACACATGTACCCCAGACTAGGTCAAGTTTTCCTCCTCAGAGCTCCTATAATGTTTTGCATTTTGGTACAGTTTTTGATTTTTTTTTTAAAATTTGTTTTCTTCACTAGTCTGTGAGTTCCTTGAGGGCAGGACCTGTTCCTTATTCTCAGCCTTTGTATTCCTTCGCCTGGCGCAGGTAGTGCCTTCATAAGTGTTTGATAAACAAATGCACGTTGTTCATGGTGATGTTAAGCCTTCCAGCATCGGGAAGTTTCCCTCGTGTGAAGAGGAGACGTCATTCTGATTTTCCAGGCGGCCCCTCTGGAGCCACAGTGTTTGACCTGGGCTTGTGCTCCTGCTGTTAAATGCTTCTCATCAGTTTTCATCTTATACAAAGTAATCTGTGCTCTCTTTCCAGCAGCATTTTGAGCTGGTTTACATAAATGTATGTATATGTTAAGACGTGGGGTGGGTTTGAATCCCAGCTATGTAACCATAGGCAACTCACTTAACTTCTCCAACCCTGTTTCCTTGACTATAAAATGGGAATAGTCCTATGTAACCCCCTGAGGTTGTTGCATGGGAGGCTTAAATGAAACAGAGAGTGTAGAGCGGCTGGCATGATGATGGTGCCTAGCACACAGTGGCCCTCAGCACTTGTTTGATTGATTGACAGAGCAAGAAACCCTGAAAGCTTACTCCTGTCCTGCTTCTCTCTCCTGCCCCAGCATTTTTTATCTATTCCAGTCTCAGCCTTGATCTGTGTAAGCATTCTTTTTGTTGTTAGAAACAGGAAGAAAAGCAAATGTGTTCATGCCAAGAGAGACAAGGGAGATGTGGGGTGCTCAAGGTCAGGGGCTGACTCTTTGGGGTTTCCCTGTACCTGCCTTCCCTCTTGAGCTGATCTCTCTTCATGGCAGAGAGCCAGCTGTCACCTGGGAGTGAATCCTGTCTCTGCCTAGTATGATCTTAGGCATGATACTTAATCTCTCACCCATAGAATGGAGTAAGGATAGTATAGGACACAAGATCATATTGAAGATTAAATAAGACATGTAGTTAAGCACTTAAGACATAGGAGGTGCTTAGCAGATCCTTACCTTCTCACTTTCAAGTTTCACTGTTACTTTCTCTGTTGGATCCCATGTTTGGCAGGGTGCTGTCTACCAGCTAACAACAGCATTTAGTAAGTATTGATTCCACTTTTTCATTTTTGTTAATCTAAGATTTTTTTGAGTGTCAGCTAGAGCTCTAGTCAATATTGGAACCCCTGGTATTAGCATACCACATAAATGTAATTCCAGCAGAAAGCAAAGAAACAAGACATATAGTTTATATGGTCTCACTGAGGGAAGATTCATGATTTGTATTCATTTAAAATAGTAAAAGTAATTTATGAGTTTCATTTCTGCCTCCTTGGAGCACCAATTTTTGCAGGACCTACCACAGCCTATGTGGCTGGCTGGGTGTCGTATACCCGATTTTCCCATCTAATTCTCTTCTACCCTCTGAGGCATTAATCTTCATCTTTATTTTAAAAGTGAAGAGACCAATGCCAAAGTTGTTCTCAGCTCTTTCATTACTCTTCATTCACTTCTTTAAAATGGAAGTTGGGTTTTGACCAGGAGGTTGGAGGGGCCTATGAGTCTTGGGCTCCAGGGTGAAGGGACTGGTAGCTACCAGATGTTCTCATGGATGAAGATTGGTTTTATTTGCAGAATGTTTTAGCCGGTGCTTTGTTTGGGCCATGGCTCGGGCTTCTGCTGTGCTGTGTGTTGACCTCAGTAGGTGCCACGTGCTGCTACCTGCTCTCCAGGATATTTGGCAAACAGCTCGTGGTCTCCTACTTTCCTGATAAAGTGGCCGTGCTTCAGAGTAAGGTAAGGGGAGGGGTCACATCTGAGTGCTGGGCCCCCAGAGAGTCACTTCTTGTCCCTGAGCGGGGAGCGAGGGGCAGAGATTTCTCACAGTGCTCCTCTGCTGTGCTTCCGAGGTCCTAGGGGTTCTTTTGATGTCTCCAAGAGGCACAGACCTGGGATCAAATCCTAGCTCCCTCATTACCAGCTCTGTGACTTTGAGCAAGTTCCTGACTTCTCTGAGCCTCAGGTACCTCTGTTTTAAAAATGAGGAAAACAATCTCTACTTTGGAGGGTTGTTGGAAGATTCGGGACAGAATGTGTAAAGAATCTAGAACAGTGCCAGGCACCAACAGATTTTCAATACGTGGAGACTGTTACTTTTTTTTTAAACTATCATTTATTGACCACATATTTTGTTCTGACTCCCTAAAATTTTATTTATTTATTTATTTACTTACTTACTTACTTACTTATTTACTTACTTACTTATTTATTTTTTACGCCTACAACACCTGGTCTTCCTAGGGACTTTGTTTCTTAATGACCTTCTCTTTTTTGGCTACAGGTGGAAGAGAACAGAAACAGCTTGTTTTTTTTCTTACTGTTTTTGAGGCTTTTCCCCATGACGCCTAACTGGTTTTTGAACCTGTCGGCCCCAATTCTGAACATCCCCATTGTGCAGTTCTTCTTCTCTGTTCTTATCGGTAAGAAGCTGGTGGAGTAAGTTTGAGGCTTCATAGTGGTCATGCTGGGGGACTGCCCTGGGTTAGCAGCCCCATGGGCAAATAAGTGCCTGCTTCTGAGAGCACAGGCTCCTGGAGAGCATCTTCAAGCCTTAATACCTAAAATCCTGATTTCAGATCTACTCAGGCTGGAACAAGAAACCCCATAAAAATATTTTCGGAAAAAATAGAATCGTTCATTGTACATATGTTTAGTGCCTGTTGTGTGCCAAGCATTGTGCTAGGCACTGGGATTAGAAGAGTAGTCTGTAAAGCACATGATTTGGCCCATAGTAAGTGCTTAGTAAATACTATCAGGAAAAGCAGGGTTGAAGTGAGGGTATGTGAGGAGAAGAAAGGGCAAAGGCAGAAGAAAGAAAACAGAGCAAAGGACTTACTTTTTGGCTTTGGCCTCCATTTTGATTAAGGTCCACCTAAGGAAGAAATGGTACCAGTGAAGTTCCTTCTTACCCTTTGACAATTGTGTGACCTTCAGCAAGCTACCCTCAGTAGGCCACTTGGCCAGACGAGGAACTGGGCCTGGAGCAGTGTTTCTCAAAGTATGGGCCTTGGAGGACACTTAACAGGATGTTAAACGTCTAACATCCTATAAAATCAGTGATTATTATTTTCCACACTGGAAGTAAACCATCCTTTTTAAGCTTTAAGGCAAGCATTGCCTCTTTTAAACCTTCTTTAGAGCATGGAGGGAAAGAATACGCAGGGCCTCTAACTCAAAGCAGATCTGTGGCTGAGCAGCTGCTATTAATAGGAGATTCTTGAGAGGAACAGAGATCTTAAACTGAAGTGAAATTTTGCACAGCTAACTCCGTTCATATCAGCTTTCAGACAAAGTGTCTTAGTACCTCAGCAACCTGTAATAACCTAGGTGGCACAAAACCTAGAAAGACCAGGGTTCCAGTCCCCCCTCTGACAAGCTGCGTGACCTTGATTGGTCTAAGATCTTGAGGCATTATCTACTGTAGAAGAGGAGTGGATTATCAGGGGTCCCAAACTAATCAGAGTCTCGGAATGGGGAGGGAAAAGGCTCCTGGTGCTCCAGCAGATCCAGGTAACCAGAGCCTCGGGTAGAGCCAGAGGAAGTGTTTTTATCAGTTTCACCAGAAGATTATTACACCACCAGCCTTTATAGCCACCACCCAACTTTTGGGATCCACTGAATTTGATGACCTCTTAGAAATGGTGTAGAACATGAAAAGTAGTATTTTTCCTAAGAAACTTGTTTGTTTTTATGTTATAACAACAAACTGTAAATCTCATAATGTTGGAGCTTCTCTACTTGGTTCTTGGGTGCTCAGAACCAAATTTGGGACCCTTAAGGTTCACCTCTAGCAAATGAGTGAACCTTATGCATTTCTGTCCTAACTGTACTCCCTTATTTTATTCTTCTTCACTCATTTTGTTTTTCCTGTTAAAAAATTTTAAATCTTATTATAATGTATATCTTTTTGTAACAAGTCCTTTTGTTGAATAAGGCAGGCAGGTATAAATGGGAAGTGAAGAAAGGAGGGGAGAAAGTGGAGAAGAAGGGAAAGGGATATATTTGGGGGTTAGGAGTTGGGAATAGAAACAAACCTGGAGTCACTGTTGTGAATTCCTGGTGACTTTTCTGAAAGGTTATTTTTCCTTTTCCTGCCCCCCAGTAACAGGCTCTTCCCCTTTTCTTCTTCCAGGTTTGATCCCCTACAACTTCATCTGTGTGCAGACAGGCTCCATCCTGTCAACTCTTACCTCTCTGGATGCTCTTTTCTCCTGGGAAACTGTCTTTAAGCTGTTGGCCATTGCTCTGGTGGCCTTAGTTCCTGGAACCCTCATTAAAAAATTTAGTCAGAAAGACCTGCATTTGAATGAAACAAGCAACGCCAATTATCTAAATAGTAGAAAGGACACGTGATCTGGAATTTTTGGTTGCTCTGTCTTTGGACTCTATTGCTTATTTGTGTAATGGGCGTGGTCCTCTACAGCCCCTCATTGTATTTTAATTACCCTCATCAGGTGATTTGGACACTTGTCTATGTGTAGTATTTGTTATAAAGGACACTGTACTCTAAAAGGTGAATCATATCAGGCTCTCAAATCAGCCGTGGTTTAGCAAGACAATGTGAAATGGATGGCTTCTTCAAAAAATCCTGTTCACATTTTGTTGAATAACAAAGAACTCAGGATAATGTTGTATTTGCCTCTTGCCAAGCCCTGAGCTGCCTCTAGAGACTGTCCTTGTTTAGAGTGCCTCTTTTGAAAGTGATAGGCTGTTGTGACAGGTGTTTTCCTATTAAGTCCCTGGCGTATGTTATTAGTGTAAATGATGACGTGTGAACCCACATCACTGACATCACTCTTCATCTGGTTAGTCTCCTGAAGAGTGTTTTTTTTTGTACTTTTGCTGATGACCTACCTCTTCCACAACCAAGGGAAAGAAGCTGACAAACTGCTTAGAACCTCCACGTACAGCTCAATGCAGTGATTTCTGTGATGCTCTTTGTGTTCAGAGATGTTACTATATATGTTACATTTCCTCTTGGTTGCATGTCCTGACAAGCTGGTTGCAAACAGACTATTAAATATGAATAGAACAAACTCTGTATGTTATGGATATGTTCTGGAGAAATTCTTATCCATCTAGACAGAGAAGGGCCCTTGACGCACTTGAATCAAATGACCAGTATATTTTCTAATCTGTCCTTTATGTGTGAGAATCTCTTCCCCCGTCTTCCTGCTAGGAGTGTGGATTCAATACCCTCAGGTATTAGCCAGTGTACCCTCTAAATGTTTTTCAATTTGTCATTTGCCAAGAATAACAGGAATAATTATATTTTATCTTTTAATTCAAAGAGGAAAACTTGGTTTGGAGTTTCTTTGTTGTGTTTTATATCAGTTATCTGTAGCTGTCATTGCTTCCTTCGCTGCAGTGTTGAATTGGCACAGACCTGGGTTGATGCTTCCAGGGACAGGAGGACCTGGCACCTTAACTGGCCAGCTCTGGGATCCTGTACCCATCATGTAGGAGTAGCTCATCATGTCCTTGGGCATGATCTGCTGGGTTTCGATCTGGCTTAGCCAAGAATCTTGCCAAAGCTTTAACCTAGGCCATGGGTTCTACGTGAATTCTTGGGAATATTCCTTTTTGGGAAGAATGAATTCCCAAGCATTGTTTTTTTTTGGACATGGTATGATCCAAAAAGCACAATAAGGACTTAATTTTAAAGATGCGTTGCTTTAAAAGCTTGCTAACAAGAGGAGGTGAGGAGGAGGCCAACTGGACTTTGAAATCCTTGGCTCTTGGTGTTATGGAGTAGGGGTAAGTGGGGAGAAACAAGGAAGCTTTCCACACTGTTTCACGTGTGCCCTCTATCAGGATCCTTAGATTGTTTCCCTCCCCTATGATCTTGCACCAATGTGCCTTATCAGTTGTGAGTTTAAAGGCAAAGCAATTTCCCTAATAAATGGATGTAAACGTTCTGTGTGGTATGTGTTTGTACATGTTGCTAACTTTTCGGTTTTCCTGAAAATCAGACAATCCAAAATGATTTTTTGCTGTCCACTCTCAGGTATCTTATTATTTTTTGGAAGCCAGGTTTTCATTTTCACCTTTTCCCTCTCTAAGCTCACTTTATAGTAGGGTTACTAATAACAGAGGAGTAGCTATAAGATGGGCAGCAGGAAAGCCATACAGAAGAAGCAGAGGGCCAGTCTAAGCTACGACAGAATATCAAGAAGAGACTATAACAAAAGAAAATGATGGTGGTCTCTTCCTTCTATGGATGTGTCTAATGAAAAGAGCCACAGAGACTGGCTTTCCCCATCACCTGTTTTTCCTGGCTACAGGAAACCCAGTCACTTAAATTCTTCCTTTCCCTAAAGTTCTGACAAATGTGAAGGCAGCTCTCAGGACACAACCAGTAACTTTAGGAAAAGACAGGACCAGAAAACAGTGAAGTACACTTTTTAATTCCATGCATCAGTTTGCTTTGATAGTCGCTTTTGTTCCCGAAGGAAGCCGGCATCAGAAACCAACACAGGGAGCAGAGGAACTAATAGTATTGGAGACCACTGGGGAGACAGATGAGGGAGTTCATTTTGAGACTCTACCACAAAAAGAAGTTAATTTGCTCCAAATTGATAGGAAACTCAAATTACTGTAATAAAGAATCGAAGCGAGTTTTCCCATTTCTAGTCTGAGAAGTGGTCACTCTGGAGGTGAGAGCTACCTGGGTGACATGGTCAATAAGGATGTCTTCCTAATAGCTTGCACATTCTGGCTAGCATTCCCTCTGGCCTGCAACCATCAGAGGACCCTGTCTGCCTGGTCACTGTGCAGCAGCCTGGAGCCAGGAGCCAGTGTTCTCGAGTGCTATGAAGTGGCTCTGGAGAATAGGCCTATAATTCTGCCAGAACTTTCCTTACTGTGGCCTTGCCATCTATTTGGGAACTTGGCTTTATGTGAAATCCTGCCATCATGCTCTGGTCATGTGACAACAAAAGCCTTAATCCAACTCCTTTGGGGATAATACTATTTCTCAGCAGTGATTTCACAGTTCCCATCTTCTGCCACCTGTTCCTGAGAAGTGTTCCAGTTCCACAAGGGTCCTCTACTTGGCAGCCTAGTTCGTTCCAGTCTGAATAGGTGCTTGCAGTACAAGCTGTAACATGTAAACAAGCAGGCTAATGTGATTCTTATGTGCTATAGTCTGTGAGGTTGGTATAACATCGGTGGTGTGAGTATACTAGGACATTTATTCAATGACATCAGCAAAGAAATCTTGCTGCCTGGAAAGGCACTACTATTCATATTGACAGTACCAGTCAAAGTCTGGAAAAGAATGTCACATTGTTTTGGTAGATTAGTCTCACAGTTTAAGGAAAAAGCAAGTAACTGGGACTTAACATACTACATTTCTCTATAGAAGGTGAGGGAGGAACATGCTCATTTAACACAATGAAATGATGTAAATAAGACATTTGTCAGTGACTGGAGATTATTCAATTGGATTATAGTCTAAGGGCAGTGGGTGGGGGCCAGTGACTTTTTTCCTGCCGGGGTGCTGCCCTGAGAGTCATAGGTTGGAATCCCTAAGGAGAAGAATGATCCTGTCATTCTCCTGTCAGGGCTAACTCAAGATCTTGAAACACCCTTCGGAAATTAATTATGATCTTAGAGCTGAGGTGGCAAACATCTCCCCTTGCACATCAGTTCTAATCGAGTGGTGGTTGTTGCTCCCAGTGCTGTGTTGGGAGAGGATCTGAGGATGTGTCCAGGCTCAGTAGGAAATAAGGTGATCAAATAACATTGGTCTTGGGTGTTCAGGGCGGAGATGGTGGATGGTGGTATGTAGCGGTATTTTGGTTTCTGGCTTGGCGGCAAAACAGTATAGCACACTATACTGCAGAGCAAGGTGGGAATTCCTTGGTTTCCAAATATTATGTTCTATTTTGGAGAATTCAGTTCTAGGAAGTTCAAGTAGGAATATTTTAAGAAAAGGGGAGAAAATTGAGGACATCAGGGCATGGGGGAAAAAAGTCAATCATTTGCTCAATAAGGATGCATTTATGCTGAAAAGATGCCAGTGCTCCACAGTGGGGGACGGCATTTAAAACTGAGTTGGTACCAGGAAGACCCCAAACCAGCAAATCTATTACTTAAGGTCAGAGGGAAATTTAGCACAATGAGGCCCCAAAATGCATGTGCAATCCTTATTAAATCCTATTAAAAATATCCTTAATTCTAGAAAGATGGATTTATTGATACTAAAGTTTTAAAATACCTGAACCTCAAGTAGGCCATACCAGATCATCTTCAACTTTCTGAGCAGGCGTCCCCCACAATCTTGCAAATAGCTCCAAACTTTAAGGTCTATTATAATTTCAAAGTGAATGTAGGCTTCTCAGTTCTCTGCTAAGCAATTTTAAGAGGAATTGTTATTCAGAGGACAAGGTCTAAAAATAGATGGAAATCAGAACCAATGCTCATCTGCAACACAAATTAAAACTCATTATCTTGCAGTCAGTCAAAAACAGATGTTAAATGAATATGGACATTCTTCCCAAGGGGGTTCAACTTTCGATCAACAATGAAGCTTGAAATCACAGCCCTGGGAGGTTCCTGAAAGCACTGTTGCACTGTTGTCAAGACTGAAGAATTAGCTCTCAAATTCCCTGAGCTCTTGATTCAACACTCTTCAGATGATTGTGGAGTTGTTCTCAAAGAAACACACATCGGTTCAAAATTGTCCTGGTTACCTCAAGGCAGGCAGGTAGAGGGCAAGGCTGGGAGAGAGGTGGCATTTCTCTTTCTAACCTAAGGACGCTGTTCTTCTCTGAAGCCTCTAGTCATTTCTAAAAAATAAAAATGTTCAGTATGGAACTTTATTAAACTCTTGACAATACAATGAATGACTAAAGATTCAACACTGTCTACTGTCCCCTAATGTGCTCATAACAGTTAATCCAGATAGGCATATGGCATTATCATGACAGTCAGGATGGGAATGAAAAAAAAACTTATCAACATGATGAGGTATCAGATGTAGGTTTTCTAGGAAGATCACAACTGAAAGGTGTAGAACAGACATGACTCTCGTTTCTCTTTTTCACGATAGGTGGGCAAGAACTGGCAAGCTGAAGTGTCAGTGTTTTATACTGGACAGAAAGAGGACATGGAGTTGTAGCGTATCTTTTCCCAGAAGTAATAGACCAGAGAGATTCATAGTATAGTGTGGTCTGAAGTCAGAGGATGGAAAATAGGGCCTTTCAAGGTAGTATTTTTCTTTTGATCCTCTAAGTGACCAGGCCTTTCTAGAATTTCTCTAGTCTTATTATAGGATGACTTCACAGCTAGGCATTTTATGTCATACCATGGATATATATTTTTTTTTCCATTTTTTTTTAGTTCCCCTACTTCTCCCAACAAGGAGAAAACAGGTTGGTTTTGTGGGATCTGGCAGGAACAAGATTACAAAATATGCCACTAGTCTTGAAACTATAACTGATGGGCCCCATGCAGATATTCTCTAGGGCCATTCCTCTTAGGGCATTAAATAATTCTCTTTTTGCTTCTAATGTATTCTCATGATTTTATTTCTTAAGAAACTTGAGAACGTTTACAGCTTTTGAACTGTTTGTCCATCCATTCAGTCATCTGCCCACCCAGGAGCTTTCATGATCAAGCCAAAATCACAATCTATCCATCGGGCTCCAGGGCAGAAGACGTGCCCTCAGATGATTGCTGTTGTTCACAGAAAATGAGGGGATGCACCTACGATGAAAGCTGGAGAGCTCCCAGACGGCAGTTCCATTTTCTTTCCTTCGTAAAAATCATAAAAATTCGTAATAATTCATGGTTAGCATAAACACAATCATTGTGCTACACCGTAAACCACACCTTCTGATCGACAGAAAATGAGAATGATAATAATTATTATAAAATAAAATAACAGTGATAATAATGCCATAACTTAAGATCTTTCATGTAGTCCAGCTACAGAATTTATACAAAATGGAATAATTTAATGCAAACAATACTGCTCTCTGTATAAGTTAAACATTTTTCTTCATCTTAAGAGCTATAAATTATAGACACTAAATTTTAAATCAATATTTCAACATAAATTGTAAACAAATGGAGGGATCAAACAAGCAAGAGGAACTGCTCTAAATTCCCTCCTGCCTTTACTTTTTGGCTGATGCGATCAGTAAAACCCAGGAGAGGGCAAGGTTTTCATCTGCAGTGGAAATGGTTTAATACCTGTATGTTTAAGTCTTTCCTAATGTCCAACATGATGCATTATCAAAGAGTCAAGCCAACTTCTTCAGGTCTTGAGACTGGAGAAGGTTGTCTGACAGTAACCTATCTTGGAGACAGAGACAGGAACTAGGCCAACATTTGTTTTTATATAAAATTCTAGATAAAAATTTCCTTAAAGCCAAGGAACTATGAAGTACCTTGCGATGCTTTTCAGAACCCACGACCCTGGGGGCGGGAAGGACCCCATGCCTTGGAAATGTAAAACTGCTGCTCAGCATCAGTTGTTCTTTTCACAGATTTCCAAATCCAGTTATTCAAAACCGCATTGTTCCAAAGTGAAGTAGAATACATTTTACAAATCGCTTTTAACGAAAATGCTTTTGTGGTGGGAGAGGGGGTGCCTTTTGCAAGTTGCTTATATTGCCTTTATCTTGATAGTGGTAGCCAATCCCTAAAGCTTCCAGGATAGAATGGATTATGAACAAAAATAAGGGGATGGTTTGGGATTTGACATTGGACAGACTCACACACATCCTAGCTGCCTTCGAAGTCTGTTCTACTGTTGAAGCAATATGACTCTCGTAGACAAGCAACCTAGTTCCAGAGAGGGCCGATCCTGTCTACTTCACTTAGCTGAACTGAGACATTCTGACAATGCACTCTTACAAATTCCATATTTGCTTTTCTAACACTGTTGTTAATTTCCTTTTTTTCTTAT